GCAGAAGCTGTTTCTGGCTGGCAGACTGAGGTTGCTCACACATGTTCTGACTGTGGGCATTCTTTCCCTCATGCCACTGGCCTACTGAGCCACAGGCCCTGCCATCCACCAGGCATCTATCAGTGCTCCCTCTGCCCAAAGGAGTTTGGCTCTCTGCCTGCGCTACGCAGCCACTTCCAGAACCATGGTCCTGGGGAGGTGGCCTCAGCACAGCCTTTCCTCTGCTGCCTCTGTGGCATGATCTTCCCTGGGCGGGCTGACTACAGGCTTCACCAGCGCCAAGTTCACAATTCCTCTGGCATGACTGAGGGCTCAGAAGAGGAGGGGGAAGAGGAAGGAGCAGCAGAGGCAGCCTCTGCTGAGAACCCACCACTGCAGCTCTCAGAAGCAGAGCTGCTCAATCAGCTACAGCGGGAGGTGGAGGGTCTGGATGGAGCAGGTTATGGGCACATCTGTGGCTGCTGTGGTCAAACGTATGATGACCTAGGGAGCCTGGAGCGTCACCACCAGAGTCAAATTTCTGGGACTACCACAGACAAAGCTGCCAGTCCTTTGGAAGCATCAGGTGATGCCACAGAGGTGGCTACAGATGATGTCTTGGGCATAGTAACCTCTGTCTCTGGCAAGAATGGAAACACAAAGTCTGAAGAAGGAGCAGGTGTCACAGTGGTAGATAACCTCTGTATGCCTCATGGTGAAAGTTTGCTGGAGACTCAGCCCCGCCCCTTCCGTTGCAACCAGTGTGGCAAGACTTATCGCCATGGGGGCAGCCTGGTGAACCACCGTAAGATCCACCAGACTGGAGAGTTCATCTGCCCCGTCTGTTCCCGCTGCTACCCCAATCTGGCTGCTTACCGAAATCATCTGCGGAACCACCCTCGCTGTAAAGGCTCTGAGCCCCAGGTGGGGCCCATCACAGAGACAGGAGGCAACTGCGAGCCTCAGAACATGGCAGAGATGGGACCAGGGCCAGCCGAAGTGGAGAAGTTCGAGGAAGAACTTAAAGTGGAGCCCCTGGAGGAGGTAGCAAGGGTGAAAGAAGAGATGTGGGAGGAGACCACTGTGAAGGGGGAGGACATAGAGCCAAGGCTAGAAACTGCAGAGAAGGGCTGCCAGACTGAGGCCAGCTCTGAGCGGCCCTTCAGCTGTGAGGTGTGTGGCCGGTCCTATAAGCATGCTGGCAGCCTCATCAACCACCGGCAGAGCCATCAGACTGGCCATTTTGGCTGCCAGGCCTGCTCCAAGGGCTTCTCAAACCTCATGTCCCTCAAGAACCATAGGCGCATTCATGCAGATCCCCGCCGTTTCCGCTGCAATGAGTGTGGGAAGGCTTTCCGTCTTCGGAAACAGCTGGCCAGCCACCAGCGGGTCCATATTGAGCGGCGTGGGGGTGGGGGTACCCGAAAACTGACACGGGAAGATCGGCCCTTCCGGTGTGGACAGTGTGGGCGGACCTACCGCCACGCTGGCAGCCTCCTGAACCACCGGCGCAGCCATGAGACAGGCCAGTACAGCTGCCCCACCTGCCCCAAGACCTGCTCCAACCGCATGGCCCTGAAGGACCATCAAAGACTACACTCAGAGAGTCGTCGACGGCGGGCTGGACGGTCTTGGCGGTCATCTGTGCGCTGTGCCCTCTGTGGCCACGGGTTCCCTGGCCGGGGGTCTTTAGAGCGGCACCTACGAGAGCATGAGAAGACAAAAAGGGAGCTGGCCAGTGATCTGAGAGGTCCAAGTGCCACAAAGGGCAATCTGGCCAATAACCAGGTATTAGAAGGCCAGTCAGGTGGAGCTGAGTCAGTACCCCAGCGGGAGGACCAAGCCATGAGGCCAGGGGAGCACAGTCAGAGCCCCGATAGGGCAGCAGATTCAGAAGCCACAAAGCCAGTGTCCTGGGGCACAGGGAGGGCAGATCGGTGGCAGAGAGACAGAGGACTGGTGAATCACGAAGGAGATTGGGTTTCTCATAGTCAGGTATTGACCGAGCCAGATGAGTCAGAGGACAGTGTCCCCAGGAGTCCTTGCCACCTTGATGACAGCCAGTCCAATGGACCTAGTCTGAGTCATATGGATAGCTGGAACAACAACAACAGATCCCAGCTTCAGCCAGAGAGCCACTCCTTTTCCTGCAGCCAATGTGGAAAGACCTACTGCCAGTCAGGCAGCCTCTTGAACCACCAAAATACCCACAAGACAGACCGACACTATTGCCTGCTCTGCTCCAAGGAGTTCTTGAATCCTGTGGCCACTAAGAGCCACAGCCACAACCACATAGATGCTCAGACCTTTGTCTGCCCTGACTGTGGCAAGGCCTTTCAGTCCCACCATGAACTGGCCAGCCACGTGCAGACTCATTCCAGGGGCTACAGTCAGGTGCCAGCCCAGACAGAGGAAGCCAGAGGTCCCAAAGTTGGGACTGTGGAGGATGAGGTGAGTCTCACTGGTCAAGAGAAAGCCCAAGAGTCCCCATCAGAAGTCCCTAGACCCCCAGGAGAGAATGCTGAGAGAGCTAGTGGAGGGCAAGGAGTAAAGTCCACAGTGGCTGAAGACAAAGAGCGGCCCTTCCGCTGTGCCCAGTGTGGGCGTTCCTATCGCCATGCTGGCAGCCTGCTGAACCACCAGAAAGCCCACACCACTGGACTGTATCCCTGCTCACTCTGCCCTAAACTTCTACCCAACCTGCTATCTCTTAAGAACCATGGCAGGACCCACACAGATCCCAAGCGCCACCGCTGTGGTATCTGTGGTAAGGCCTTCCGGACAGCTGCCCGACTGGAGGGCCATGGGAGGGTCCATGCACCCCGGGAGGGACCTTTCACCTGCCTGCATTGTCCCCGCCACTTCCGCCGCCGAATCAGCTTCCTGCAGCACCAGCGGCAGCACCAAGAGGAATGGACGGTGGCCAGCTCTGGTACGGGGGCATGAGCGGGCTCCAGCAGAGGATTGAAGGGTCCCAGAAGGAGGTGGGCACACAGTGGAGAGTGAAATTGGGCCCCAAGGTGGGTGGGGGGCAAGGAGTGAGAGGAGAAAGTCATGTGGATCTCAGGAGGTAGCTGAGGGCTTGGATATGGAGAAAACTGGTATGAGGATGCTGCCTTTGGAGCAGCTGAGATCTGTACCCCAGGTCAGATGACAGTGCTGGGGTGGAGGATAGTCAGTGGGAGGGGTAACTTTTGGGCTCCTTAGCTTTGCTATAGCCAAAGAGGAATGATCCTTCTTTTTCTCAGGGGTAGGGTAGGAACCACATTTGGAGACTCTCCTGTTTTAGCCAGTAAAGTAATGATTTCCAGAGAAAAGGTTGGAGACTTTAATTTGGTCTAGGTTCTTTTCTTTCCTAGAGCAGTAGGGAGCCAGGGAATGAGGAAAGGGGCATGGGCTTCCCTGCTTGGAAACTTCCCATGGAAACTTGCTCACTGGTTGGCACCCAACTAACTCTATTCCTCTTCCTATATCTTATCTCTGCCCTTCCTCTTCTTTTTTTTCTTTTTTCTTTTTTTTTGAGACAGAGCCTCACTATGTTGCCCTGGGTAGAGTGCCGTGGCATCACAGCTCACAGCAATCTCCAACTCTTGGGCTTAAGCAATTCTCTTGCCTTAGCCTCCCAAGTAGCTGGGACTACAGGTGCCCACCATAGTGCCTGGCTATTTTTTGTGGCAGTTGCCATTGTTTAGCTGGCCTGGGCCAGTTCAAACCCACCAGCTTCAGTGCATATGGCTGGCACTGTAACCACTAGACCTCTATCAGCATTGCCCACATTGCTTCTCCTCTTTATTCAACTTCTTTCTTCTTCCTCTGCTGTATTTTTTTATTTATTTGAGACAGAGCCTCAAGCTGTCACCCTGTGTAGAGTGCTGTGGCATCACAGTCACAGCAGTCTCCAACTCCTGGGCTTAAGTGATTCTCTTACCTCAGCCTTTCAAGTAACTGGGACTACACATGCCCGCCACAACACCCAGCTA